GAATAAGAGATACTAATATCGCGCGTGTTGCCTGGTGGGTACGCAGCGTATACGGGTATCTTGCTGCTCGTTGCTCCAGTTGTTTGCTCGCGTGTCTTCGTAAAGAGTGGGAGCAAAGCGAGGGAGTGAGAAGTGGTTGGCTCGTTGTGCTGGCGATGAGGTGTACCTTACTTTCGTACTTCTATTGTAAGTGCTGTGAGGCGAGTCGACCCTCGAAGAAGAAACGAGAAAAATAGAAACGACGGGCAGGACAAGGGAAGCAAGTCCCCGGATCTGCAATAGCGGCGCGGAAGGGATGTACGGGAATATGGTGCCTGGCGAGCCGCAAGAAAGGGGGCCTGTCGTGTGGTCTTCTCTCTTCTTCCAAGTTGACAAGACAGACAAGCACAAAAGTTGCTGGGGTGCGTCGGCACTGTTTGGATCGCTTTCAACTGCGGAGACCGACGGTTCCTTGGTAAGAAGCGTGGAAGCGAGCTTTCTGCTTGATGTTTGTCTCTCTCTCTCTCTCTTTCTCTCTCTGTCTGTCGACTTGGCGGGCTGAGACTTATCCAATGGCAAAAACGAGTCGTAAGCTGGATGTGGCTGTGCTGTGCTGTGTTGTGCTATGCTGAGCTGCGCTGCACTGCGATATGATCCAAAGGTAGCGAGATGGCGGCGCTGGTGACCTTGCAGCGCGGTGCCGTGTACGTGTCCGTTCCGTAACCTTGGTGATGAAAGGTCTCGAAGGCCTTCTTCTTTCTTGGTGCCGGGGCCGGTGCGCAGTTATTTGATTCCTTCTGAAGCTTTTCTAAAGCTCGGGAGTAAAGCCCAGTAGGGAGACTTTGCACCAATGCCGTGACGGGTTCGGAGTCAGCGACGGCACCTGAAAAGGCTGAAATTAATGATCTGGGCTTGACAGGGTCCAGAGCTTTGTCTTGTGAAATGAGAGTGGGCAGTGGGTGGTTTGTGCTGTTCTTGGCATGAGATGGGGAAAATGAGGTTTGAGCAGAAGTGAAGATGCTCTGCCAACGATTTTGGTGGGAGGCAAAGCTGTTTCCCCTCTTTTCACGTCTCGATGCTTCAGAAGTTCGGTCTGAACTCTGTATGCATCGGAGAGTTGCGATATGCATGGAAGATCTTCTCGGGAGGATTTTGGGGGACTCGAAGCGGGAGGAGAGGGGGATTGTGCTATTTTTCGCATGCTTTTTTGTCGCGGAACTCTGCAGAATCCTCGTGTGGGTGGCCTTCTGTACACCAATACATGGGTAGCAGTAAGTGGGATGGATAGACTATCCGTACGTACACGACTACCTACCTTATGGATACAGACATTAGACAACGGCCATCCAGCCTGCCTGAGAAGTAAGTGAGCACTGAACAGCCCTGCCACCTCGCATACCTCAGCTCTTGCTCGAACTAGCTCCAGAGCTTGATCGAGGCTGTTTGTGCTCCGCGACTGGCTACGAATTGTCTCGCCTCCTACACGGGATGACGACCAAAGGTCTCGGATTCCCTCCTGACGGTCCCACGAACGCCTGAGATTGTCCTCGACTGAAACAAAACTTCCAAGTGATCGTGCCGCAGCCGCATTGAAGATCGCTCTCTAGTGGTCCCTATTCCATACATGAGTATATGTCGATGAGGGGATGTTGCGGTCTATATAGGGTTACATTCCTATGCGGGTAGGGCCAGGAGATGCTGGAGACAAAGGGGCCCGAGCTGTGAGGAGCTTTCCGTTACGAGGATGTCCTCTGCACAAGAGGTTTGCAGCCCATTCGACTCTGACGAATAAGCACATGCGCATGAAGATGAACGTCACTTGAAGGGCATCCACAGGCTCTTTGGAGCTGGGCAGTTAAAGCGGTCTCAATCTCAAGAGTCAGCTATCGTAGGGCTCCAACGGGGGGCATCCTTTCATTAGCACGCCCAATCCCATCCCCGTCCCATCCCCGTCCCATGGAAGGCCTTGCGAGCCGTTACCGAACAACACAGTCATCTCTTAAATACTTCCAAGTTCCTGAGTGGCACAGTGGTTGATGAAATGTGGCAGGGCTATACAAAGATTGGTTCAACAACCAATGCCCGTATACCCGTACACATAGTCAAAAGCCGCCTCAAAAGATCAAGCTTCACACGACTGTGACGCACCGCACCGGATCTTCGGTCGTGTCCACGTCAACTTCAAGGGTCCAGGTCCGCTGTGGCGTCGATGAGACTACACGCAGTACTGTGAAACTGTCCACAAGCGCCCGCGCATGCCGCGAGACCCTGGAGACGGCAGCGCCAGGGACCTCGACCGACGTCGCGGGTGTTATCCCCTGTGCCTGGGCCTTTAGCTGGCTGACTGTGCCGTGGGAATGTCAAAAGACTTTGCGCTGAGCCACACTCGTGCCCCTGGAAAACTCGCCGTGTGCCAACTTTGCTTGTCTCCAAAGCCCTTAAGTAAGCTGAGACTCTTCCCTACTGTGTATGTACATAGAGTCTAGCTTCGGCCTCTTCGCTGACTCGGAACTGAACATGCTGCCGACGAGCGAGGCATGTCCATGCCGGCCAGCTGGCAGGTGGGAACTCGTCAACCTCGAAGGCTTGGGTCTCCCAGCTTCGTCTCGCGGACGTGGCTGACTGCTCACCTGTCAACCGTTCCAAGGCTTGATGCCCCCTTATTTCCGCGCCAGCCGTTCTGTCAATAATTTTGGTTGCACTACCTTCGCGCACACGATCATGATCATGGTGGGCGACGTTGACGATGATGCGTACGAGGGAGGTTAAGGTTGATAGTGATGTCACTCACCCCAGCTAGATGAATATCAATGGAGACGGCCAACTAGATTTTCTTGTCTCTCTCTCTCTCTCTCTCTCTCTCTCTCTCTGTGCGTATCTGTGCTATTTTTCGCAGTGTTCGTCACCAAGGATGTTGATCCATGACGAATCCTATGATCTCACGCGACGAACACCTCCACCATGGCGGTAACTATGTGAATCCTCATGATCCAATGCCCAGGTTGAGAGCTTTTAGCATAGCCGGGCGTCCAAATGAAATCCTCACCTTCTTGGCATGGAGACTGCGATGGGTTCATACTGTGATGACTGTGTACACATGTCAGAACGGTCGAGTTGTCGGCTACAGACCGGTAAGAAGATCTGGCCATTGACATCGTCTGCTCGTCATTCCGGAGGATTCAACGGTCAATCTACGGCGATCTTGGAGTCTGGGGGATCCAAAATAGGTGGGATGAAAACCCAAGCAGACGGCACGGCAGTTCCCAAGTTTCCACCGGTCGCCAAGGAGGTTCCAAGACCGGTCCCGTCACCCCGCAACCAACTCGACTTGTGAAAAGATGGCCGTGTGCAGATGCATCCGGCCCCGTGCGTGCGCGACTACCGAAGACCGAGAGAGAGAAGAGAAAAACAGAGTTTCGGCACCCGACGATGCGAGGTTGAAAATCTGCCCAGCACCAACACTTTAACTTTCTCTCTTGACTTATATCGTTGTTCGAGTACGAATCGAGTGCGAAAACGTCCTCTAAAAGGAATTGAATACCGCCTCGTTGGATTCATCGTTTCCAAACGCTCACCGGCTGTTTTTCCCCATTCAGTCCTCCTGACTCTACCCCTTTGTTTTAAAGAAATTGATTGCTTACGTCACATGGCGGTTATGCGGCAGACGCCCACTTACAAGACCGGATTACGGATAGTCCGCCATATCCCGTTCGACTTTTCACTCGAGAAGGTCAGGGGCTCACTTTGTTTATCAGTACTCACTGCGATTCATGACTCTTTACTCGTGTTGATGTGCTTGGCAACCCAGTCGTGGGAATCGCTGCCACCAGATTTTACCTCAAACGCAAACTCAACAGACTATCAACTTCATCTACTACGTACGATTATTCATCGTTAAAGCCAAAAGCCAACGCATAGTCCTTCAGACCAAAATGTAACATGCCCATTACTGACAATTGATCAGATACCACCCCGATATCCATGGTCCCTGCTGACCCAAGAGCCGCGCTACCACTGGTGGGAGAATGTATGACTCCAAAAGTAGATTGGCTTCGTGACATCGTGGTTCGGTCCAACTGCCGACTTGGCTTGTGGAGGATCCCAAAGAAGAATTTCTCCTTCAGACTTCTCCAGCATGAAGCTAAAGTCATGAGCCCTCTTCGGATCCGCTTTCCTTGATATGGCCAACCGGCAATCCGGGAGAAAAAGGTCATTCGCCTACGAGGCTCGAGATCCATTATATATTGTTTCTAACTTTCTAGAGTCTGCAAATAAGAGCGTAGTATCCGCCATAAAAGCCTACCTTGAGACTTTTTGAAAGGGCAGTAATTTCCCGCCTATCGTACTCGGTTTGCCGCCACTGACCCGACAAGTTGGGCGTTTGGAAGCTATAATGGTCTCAAATAAGGGGCCACCTTATTCCAGACTCGGCCGAGCATGGCAGGGCTCGACTCGGCTAGTGTTTCCAACAAACAACTACAACGCCATTTTTGGCCCCTCTTTCACGACGATGGACCAACAGGAAAGATTCTTCCATCGAATCCAACGATGTTCCTCCGGAATTTTACATCCCATGTTCTTGTCGTCCGAACCGATCCACCACTCTACTCCGGGCCCCTCAACGTAGCATCCTCTGCCGTGACCCTAGTCTTGGACGACAAACATACGCGATGGACTACTCCGTGTACTGCTGTACCCATCAGGAATCCGAATGGAGAACATCCCCGTCCATGCCAAAGTCGGCGGGCCAGAACACACTCCCTCTCCTTTTGGGAATCAACTGCGTTGCATCAAACTCCTCTCATCTCGTCAAGCGGCTCCCACGCTAGGAAAGTTGGGGACTGAATGGCCAAGACTCTGAATGTCCTGTATAAAGATGCCTCTCCTCGATCACCAGCCTCTCTGACCATGATTCTGTTCTCCAGCACATACGTTCACTTCTTCAGCCCTTTTAACAAACCTCTTACATTCGTTCTCCAATCCAGTCCTTCGCTTCTTCAAAACAGCCCACTACCGCAACCATGCAGTTCGCTACTTTCCTCTTGGCCGCCCTCCCGGCCACCACCATGGCCTTCCCCGGCCTCTTCCGCCGTGAGGAGCCCTCCAACAACGTCGCCAAGCGCGACTCCTGGGGCGGCGCCGTCTCCCTCGGCCCCACCACCTCCACCATCATCAACGCCGTCACCTACCTGACCCCCGGCGCCGCTCCTCCCACCCAGGCTGGTGTCCTCTTCCTCTGGCCCGGCATGTCCAACGGCACCGGCAACCTCGTCCAGACCACCCTCGAGTCGTGGCCCGACAACAGCTGGTGCGGTGCCGTCGCCGGCGAGTGGTGCGTCCGCGCCTCCGTCTTTGGCTCTTTCGGCCAGATCGACAGCACGACCTCTGCCCCCGTCAAGGGAACCCAGAAGATCAAGATCGAGTACGACCTCCTCGACGACAACGACACCTGGCGCCAGACCGTCACCGACACTGCCACCAACAAGGTCATCAGCACCCTCGACCACAAGGACGGCCCCTTCATGAGAGGCTACGGAACCGGCACCGAGTGCAACGACGGCTGCACCGGCACCATTGCTGAGCAGATCTACTCCGACACCACCATCACCCTCTCCAGCGCCGATGCCAACTTTGGCAAGACCATTGGTGTCAGCCAGGGTGCCACCTACACCGGACTCGCTGCCAGCAACGGCAACAAGGTCTGGAAGATCGCCACCATCAAGGTCCCCAAGATGCAGTAAATGCGTTTGCAACGTAAGCCTGCGGCTACTACAAGAAGGATTGGTTTCACTGTACATACTACATAGTCTTTGACAGACTAGGAAGACGTGCCCATGGCTGCTTCCAGGTTCCATAATTCAACCTCTTGCCATGCAATACTTTGCTCCATCGCTATGACTGTGACTTTTGATGACAAATCGCCAACAGTAGAGACCAAACCATGTGATATAGAGTAAGCAGAATATAATAGTTTGAATGGCATGAATGATGTGTGGATTAAGCTTATGTTGTGTACCCCAGCTGTGCTAAACTCAAAATAAGGTTTGCGCGAAGGAGTGTGCGCTGGTGATAATATTTGGGTTATGCCTCAGTGAATCGTGTAGTAGGCAGTGCTATGACGTCTCAAGCAAGGGCAGTCTTAATTAGAAAGCTGGTTTGTGAAACTCGGGATTTAGGAAGCAGATCACCATGTTGCTTCAAGAGATAACTTCTTGCCATCGGCCAGCCCGAACATTGTGTTTCTGAATTTCTTGAAAATAGCGGCGACGATGGCGATGACTCGAATCGGGTTTTCAGTTCGGATCGGGTTATTTCTATTGCAGGCAACAGATTCTGTACCAAAATCATATTTATTACATGCATTATCCATATGAATGTAAATTTTCTTGTCTTTCAACTTTTCAGCAAAAATGGATAACCACGGTTATAGACATAGGTGAATACTTTCCAGATAATTGTTTCATCTACTTTTATTACTCACCAAAAAAAACCCTTTTTACTCGAAAAAATGCACTGAAGGATACAACTTAGAAGTCAAGTCCACAACTCCGCACCTAGTACAAGCATTTGACATGCATTTAAATCGACCTTGAATCCAAATCAGACAGAGAGCAGAAGCCTCAATCAAGATAATCCATGTTCGTCTCTGCTTAAACCAAGACGGCTGTTTGGAAACCACATAATGTGTCTTGGGCATTTTGGTTGGCTACGGCAACGAAGTCAACCTCTGTCACTGCCCTCCATCGTTCATCGATACCAATAATAGATAGTCTGAAGTACACAGTAGAATAACTGGTTTAGGTGGCCTGCAATTGCTGTGGTAAACTCAGAGAGAGTGATCAGGACAGTTTGAAAGTATCTACAGCCATTCCAGTTGATGGGATATGGGAATGATCACCCCAAAAGAAAAAAGAGAAATGTCAAGGGCGACTTTGGCTGGTCTTGTTCAATGTATAGTCCGTGAGTTGAAGAGTCCTTCTCCATGTGCTGTATAGGCCCTCAAACAGGGTTACGGTTGATGTAAGCCATCAATATCTCGGCATCTCGGTGTGGTGGTGAGGTGAGGACCTCGGTGTGTTGATATGCACGGTCAGCGGCCAAGATGTCGTCAGACCATTAGCCGGTACGTACCGTTCGGCTTTCCAGAGTCTCCACACCCCGCGATCTCGGACGCAGGACTGCACCTGCACGTCAAGCTTCCTCCAAAAAAAAAAAGTGCCCGTCCAGCAGACAAACTCCAACACGCTCCGCAGATCCTCCCTCCTCCAAAATGTCGACCGCGACGAGTGCCACCGCGGCGACCAAGGATGAGTCGCAGCCCGTCAAGAAGGGCGGACCGACGGTCCTGCGATCCATTCTGGCTGGATCTACGGCCGGCGCTGTTGAGATTGGTGAGTCCCTCCACTCTTTGCGGTCCCCCGATGACGCACCAGCAAACAATGAAGACAGAAGACTAACTCTCCGGGCATAGCCATCACGTACCCTGCCGAATGTAAGACGACCACGATCGATCCCCGATTGCGATTGACTCTCTGACCCTTCCTCGACAGTTGCCAAGACCCGGTCGCAATTGAACCGAAACCTGGGTGCCGGACAGAAGCTGCCATGGCCGCCATTCGGAGCGCAATGGTACGCGGGATGCACCACGTTGATCATTGGCAACTCGCTCAAGGCGGGCATTCGTATGTGAAGCAGCTATCCTGGAGCAATTGCCTCGTGCTAGCTGACGCCCGATGTACAGGATTCGTTGCCTTTGACCAGTACAAGACGCTCCTTTCCGACGCCGACGGCAATATCTCTGGGCCGAAGACGGTCATCGCCGGCTTCGGCGCCGGTGTGACGGAGTCGGCCCTTGCCGTCACTCCCTTTGAGAGCATCAAGACTACGCTGTGAGTCTTTTGCTCTGCTACATCAACGGCAATGCATTATTACTGACACTACTGCCGCAGTATCGACGACAAGAAGTCCGGCAAGCCCCGAATGAAGGGTTTCCTCAGCGCCGTCCCCATCATTGCCCGCGAGCGCGGCCTCCGCGGGTTCTTCCAGGGCTTCGTGCCGACGACGGCCCGCCAGGCGGCCAACAGCGCGGTCCGGTTCAGCGCGTACAATGCGCTCAAGCAGATGGCCGAGTCCTACACGGCGCCCGGAGAGAAGCTGGGCGCCGTAGGCACGTTTGCGATGGGCGGCATCGCGGGATTGATCACCGTGTACGCCACGCAGCCCCTCGACACGATCAAGACGCGCATGCAGAGCATCACGGCACGACAGCAGTACGGCAACTCGTTCCGGTGTGCGGCCATGATCCTGAAGCAAGAGGGCGTCCTGACGTTGTGGAGTGGTGCGCTGCCGCGTTTGGCGCGTCTTGTGGTGAGCGGCGGTCTTGTTTTCACCATGTACGAGAAGAGCATGGATCTGATGAACAAGGTGGACCCTGAGGGAAGATACATCTAAGAAGGATTGCTACAAGATACAATGGCGTTGAGGTTCTACGTTTTTGTTTTGGTATAGATAGTTACACTATACAGGGTACAGATTTTGTACAAGATATGATACATAGGGCCTTGACCGTTACGTCAAGCATGCCCATGCTATTTAGATGGCTTCCTTTTCGCCGTGCGACGCCATTATATGGATGGCGTCTCGTGTGGGTGTTTGTGTTGTGTGGTAGTTTGGTTTTGCGTCGTTCCTTGCTTATTCTATCATCATTGAAGTCTGAACATGCCTGACAACTTCTTGGACATGTTTTGCAGCCATCCTCGTGTCGGGGCCTCCTCGAGCTCTCTCAACAGGTCTTGAAAGTATGTGGGCTGGCTTTCGGGCTTCAAGAGTTCGCCATTGAGGGGGAACTGCGGGATGTATGTCAGAGGATTACGATGAGGCGAGGCCGTGGAGGTTGGTGCAGCTTACCCTCTTCTTGAAGCGATCGTCGGTGAGGGCGAACATGGCGTTGGCCTGCTTCAGCTCCTTGGCCTCGTCGACGACATTGGGCTTGGTATACCTCCTCTCGATGCCTCTCTGGATGATTTCGCTGAACTGGGTCTCGGGGCGGAGGTTGTCCTTGGGCCACAAGGCAAGGGCAGACCTCATGTGCTTGTACGCTTGCTGTGGCAGGATAGTGTTAGTGACGGTGATGCGATAGTTGGAAGGGCGGGAAGGGAGGCAGAGAGGAGAGACATACGCTCGTTGTCCGCGACATTGCGGCGATATTGGCAGTAATTAGAGAATGGAGGTGAGTCTACCGAGTGCCGTCTACCTTATCATGGTCTCACCGCGGGGCAATGAGGCAGCAGTGGTGGATAGAGGGGTGTGGGCGCGGCGGTGGAGGGCGAAAGTCGCGGTAGCTTCAGAATCCCATCAACGACGTCAAGGATTTCGCATCAGATGGCAGGCCCGGTCGCAGACGTCCAAGAAATTCATTTCGTCGGAGCTAAGGGACTGCGCTGCATCGGCGCTTGCGGGACTGGTCAGAGTGGAGATGAAATCGCCAAAGACGTGAATGACATTGGGTGGATTACTCAGAGGACTGTGATTGGAGCAAAAGATCTCGAGTGGTCAGGGGGTCCCGATGGGCCGAAGAGAGTGGGGCATCCACTACGTACACAGTATGCATATGGGGCTACCTTGGTGAGCTGGCTTACCTTATGCGCATGACTCTGGCCTGAGGCATTATAAGGTACGGCACCGTAGGCACCTTATTCCCCGGTTGTCTTTGTCAGCCACTCAGGCCACCCAAGAGGCAGCCGTTGGCAGTCACCACTGTGGCAGCGGACTCGGAGCAACACAGAATTGACCCCCCGTGCCCCCCTCAGTCTCAATTTGTTCCAGCACATTCCCGCGGGTAAGGTACGAGTACGTATACGTAACCCCCCCTACCAGCGATGGCTGCGATACTGAGAACCGTCTCCACCTCCACTGCCACAGGGGCTTTCTAGCGTTAGAGCCGTATCTTAGGTAATCCACTTCACCGCAGCGAGACGAGGCGAAGCGAAGCGAACCAGCGACAGACAGCGCCCGGGTCGTGCGACAATCCCGACACTCCTGACCTCCTGTATTCGTACTTCGTTCACTACCTAGGTACCTACACTATCTTACAGCGTACTCCTCCCAAGTTACGCCTGGACTGACTCTCCGACGTTCATCACCGCAGACAAACCGAGCCAACGTTGATGGCGTAGTCCTCTTTTCCTCCGAACCAACACCCTTTTTTTTTTCTTCAGCACAACACCGCCATCGCCGTTCCTTTTTGTCGCCTCACCCCTCCGATTTCTCCTACGATCCTCGCGAAACACTTCCTCGCCTTTTTTCTTTTCGTTTTTCGCCTGGTTCCTTTCGAATAACCGCCTCCGTATTCCCCGACTTCTCCTTACCTCCAACGCCTCTTCCCCCCAATTACCTACGACGCTGCGCTAGCCGTCTTCTCCCCCGGTGGCGAAAGGGGCGCCCCGAGTCCTACGGTTTCAAGACAACAGAATAGAGAGAAAGAGAAAACAAACAACATTACACAACATTCGTCAAGATGGCTGGACGTTATGAGCGGGTATGTTGTGTCCCAAACCAGACACCATTCATTTCCCCTTTTCTCCATGGTTCGCTGACAGTGTACTCTTTCCAGGTAAACGCCCAGGACGAGGACGACTTCAATAGCCCCAACTCCGCACCGCCAAGTCACGCGCAAACAGTGCCAAACTCTCCGCCCCCGTCCTTTCACTCGAGAGCATCATCGCGCGATCGTGCCGCCCACGGAGTCGACTCTACCCTTGCCGACGCATTCGATACCGATGGCGACGAAAGCGATGACGACGCCGACGACAGGCAAAGATTAGTCCGCGCCGACTCCACCCTGACCTCCCGCGACACATCCCGCACCGTTTCCTCCGAGTCAAGACCCCAGCCCGATAGGCAGGTCACCCAGCTTCCTCCTACCACTGCATCGGCAGCAGGCGGACCTACGACGCCCTTCCGCATCTACGGCAGCGGTATCCAGAATGAGGGCGTCTTTTCCAACCTGACGGCGAAGCCTGAGCGGGGAGGCGAGACGAAGGAGGAGCAACCACCGGTATGTTCAATCCCCACTGTCACTATCCATGTCTTGCATGCGGAAAGACGGCATACGTTGCCCAAGAACACGATGTACTAACCAGTCTCTAGACATATGAGCAAGCCGCTGCGGATGCGGCACCCCCATACTGGGAGACGACTATCCTGGCTCCAGGCCTCGGCGGACCCGACGAGGTCTACATTGATGGGATGCCCGTCGGATCTCTCTTCAGTTTTGTCTGGAACGGCATGATTTCCATGTCCTTCCAGGTTGTCGGCTTTATCCTCACATACCTCCTCCACTCGACTCACGCGGCCAAGAACGGGTCCCGCGCCGGCCTGGGCATCACGTTAATTCAGTACGGTTTCTACATGAAGGGCACAACAGAGGGCGACCACCCGCCCAAGATGAACGGCCAAGACGGATACGCGGCACCACCGGACCCCAACTCGCACAGCTTCGACCCCAACGCGGTAACGGGAGAGGGCGGCGGCGGTGTTTCGGACATAACCGGACAAGAGTGGATTGCGTACATTCTGATGGTTGTTGGATGGTTCGTCCTCATTAGGTCTGTTAGCGACTACCTCAAGGCACGGCGCCACGAGCAGCTCGTCTTGCAGAGCCCCGACCGTGGACTGCCTGTGCCCATTATCGCAGATGGCGAGTCGTCCGAGAGAGTGGTATAGCATTGGCGTTTTCGTGTGTCACAGCGTGACGAAGCGCAGTGGGTTATTTTTTCGTGTCACAAAGTGGTTATTGGTCTGGGCCACGAGTCTACGACATTTGGCATCTCGCGCCTTTTCTTTGCGTCGTCCAGTGGGTCTTGGGTGTTTTACGGGAACGGAAATGGGAGCAGGGTAATCTACATAGGAAGCACAGCAGCAGCTTTCATTCTCGGCATCAATACTGAGGTTTTTCTTGGGTACATTCTATCCGTTCGTGTCTGTTCCTCACTCACACAACCGTGATAACGAAATCCTATTCTTCCAGGCTTAGGCACATGATGATCCTAGAATTCAAGATGGCGCAAACGAAAGCGACGTCTTTTAGTGCTTGCAGCGGGATGATCCGCTTAGTAGGCGGGGTCAGTGAGAGAGTTTCCAGGTTACCTTGTGAGCTCCCACTTGCCCGGGCAGTCTGAACTCCCTGGGTCGCTTATCGACAAGGTTTGAGAGCGCGGGGGATCAACCCACCTCCACCGCATTCGCGCCATAACAGGCGCTGTACATAGCTCAAGTTGTAGCGGTTCAAGACATGCTGAGGTGGATATCTCGTGCTGGAAATGGAACTGAATCACCGTCACCTGTGATAGTCACCTCTGATGTTTACAACACACTCAATTTCCTTCCTTTAACAACATCATCTCGCATGCCCTCTTCCGAGAGAACTCTTCGCTTGCCTTACTAGATAACGCAAACCAACAGTCCACCATTTCAACCCAAGCAGAGCACCCGCCACAACGAATACCAGACGCCCTTCAGTCCGGAGAGCTCTCAAGCTTCTCCCGAGCTCAACACGACGACAGACCCCTCGCTTTCTACACCAAACCCCCGCCCCCAACTTCAAGATGGCCTGGCGAAGCTCCGGCGCGACAAACAAAGACCTGGTCGAGAACATGTGGCGGCATGGCCTCATCAAAGACCAACGAGTCAAAGACGCCTTTCTCAAGGTATCTTCAACCACTGTCACTGCCAGAGCATCTCTGACCTGCTGCCTAGGTTGACCGGGCACACTACGCTCCCGCTGCACCGTACGAAGACTCGCCCCAGTCCATAGGCCATGAGGCCACCATCTCGGCACCTCACATGCACGCCAGTGCCACCGAGTCTCTCCTCCCGCACATCCTGCCCTCCGAAACTAGGCCCGCGCCGCGGGTGCTGGATGTCGGTTCGGGATCGGGATACTTGACGCACCTGCTTGCCGAGCTCGTGGGTGATAAAGGGCTCGTTGTCGGGCTGGAGCATATCCAGGCGCTCAAAGACATGGGCGAGACCAATATGGCCAAAAGTGCCGAGGGGAGGGCACTCTTGGATAGCGGCAAGGTCAAGTTCCGGGTCGGTGACGGACGGAAGGGCTGGGTGGAGGCGCCGCGGGGCGGGGAGACGGGTGATTCCACGGGGTGGGATGCCATCCATGTTGGTGCTGCCGCGGTGGAGCTTCACCAGGAGTTGGTGGACCAGCTACGGGCGCCTGGCAGGTTAGCTGGGCGAACGCTTTTATCTGACGCGGAATGCTAACTTTGGGCAGGATGTTTATTCCTGTCGAGGATGACAACGGCTACGATCAATACGTTTGGGCCATTGACAAGAAGGAGGACGGGTCCGTTGTGAAGGAGAAGCTATTTGGGGTTCGATATGTGCCACTGACTGATGCTCCCAAGGCGTGATTGTACGATACCGAATCAAGTTGCAACATTTATATTCGAGATACCTCATGAACAATAATACTGGGATTTTCTCTTCACCTTGCGTACCAGGAACAACGGCTCTCAAGTAAGATTTAGACTTACACCGCATACCATACTTTGCCCGACACACGACTCAATCGGCCTACAGAGCATCCACACCCGTAGGTTTAGTATTTCGGCGGGTGTTGACCCTGGCAAATAGTATCGAAAAGTGCCAGGGTTGCTCTAATGGATCCCAAAGACAGTTAATCTATCTAGGGCCTGCGGGGACCTAAGCTGCATTAGTGGCCACCAGGAACACCGCCAGCAACCTGCCTTCACCTCCGCATCGGCCCAGTCATGTCCTGTGTAGTACAAACACAGAGAGACAATGAGACTCTTGGAAACTGCCCACGGGTCACAGCCACTTGGGAACTTCGTCATCTACGAAGGAGACAATGCGCCAGACTTTGCTATTCTCTCCCATACGTGGGGAGCAGAGGAGGTTACATTGCAAGATGTGCACGATGCCCAGAAGGACATCACACTGATGGCCGGATACCCCAAGATCACGGGAGCCTGCCGATTTGCTCAAAGTCAGGGGTACGACTACATCTGGATCGATACGTGCTGCATCGACAAGACGAGCAGCGCCGAATTGTCCGAGGCCATCAACTCCATGTTCAACTGGTACGAGCAGGCTAGTATTTGCTACGTCTACCTCTCCGACTTGGACTACTCGATATACCAGCAGCCAGGTATGACTGCTCCGTTGGAACTGGCGCTGCGCGAATGCCGATGGTTTACTCGTGGCTGGACGCTCCAGGAGCTCATCGCCCCCGACAACGTCGACTTTTACGACAAGAACTGGCATCTTGTTGGCTCCAAACTCGACGAGTCACTCGGTCCCGCGCTCGCAAACGTCACGGGAATCAGTCTCGACATCCTGAACAAGACTGTTCCCCTGGAGTCGTCGAGCGTCGCCGAGCGCATGCACTGGGCCTCGTCGAGAGTCACGACCCGCAAGGAGGACCTGGCCTACAGCCTTATGGGCATCTTTGGCGTCAACATGCCGCTGCTGTACGGCGAGGGGATGAAGGCTTTTGCGCGGCTGCAGGAGGCCATACTCCAGGATACGGGAGACCATTCCATTTTCGCGTGGCACAGCAACTACGAGACGTCTACGCAGGAGGCGGCGTTTGACCAACATATCCTCAGCGGCCTGCTCGCTCCGTCGCCGGTTGAGTTTTCCCAGTTTCAGTACCTTCGCCCGTTGCCGGCGTTCGGGACGACGGGGCAGCAGCCGATCCAGCTTACGAACCAGGGGATTAGGATTTCCATGTACCTTGAGCCCGTGGACGATGACCAAGGGGGTGATGACGGCAGCGCGGCGGACGACTTTTACGCTGTTTTGGACTGCGCTATCCAGGGCGAGAACGGGGATCAGTGCCCGCGCATCATGCTGAGGAAGTTGTCGGGGAACCAGTACGCCCGGGTCCGGACGGGGAGTGTCTGCACGGTGATCCCGGCGCCGGATTCGACGAGGCCGGGGCGGGGAAGCTACAAGACTGTTTTCGTCAAACGGAGCCCGGCGTATGTTTTACCGGATATTTCTATCCTCAAGGCGGGTTGGAAGGCGGGTGGCGCCCGGGAGGCGTATCGGGTTGTCGATTCATATCCCACGGGGCCGTGGGTGCCGAGTTTGGGGATTTTGAGGACGGGGAACCCGTATTTTGAGCCGGTGCTTGCTGGGTTGCGGTTTGAGTCGCTGACGAACGCGCGGATTCAAGTGGATGTTGTTGTCGGGTGGAGGAGGGTGGATGGGGAGTGGAAGGTGTGGTGTCATGCTTGTGAGGCGCAGGCTGATTTGGAGGTTGATGTGCTGTGGGGGGATACGCAGTTTGCCGTGTCTGGTGGGCTGGATCAGTTTGTTGAGACGGATGTGGAGGTCAAGGTCCAAGTCGAGGGAGATGTTGCACGGAATTGGAGGAGTAGAGGGTTCGCTCAGGTCAAGAGGCATGAGGTTCCTGTGCGCGTGAGGTTGGTGGAGGTTGATAGGCTTGGGAGGAAGGGGGTTAGGATTGAGTGTTGTGCGCCGTTGCAGCCGCATATTCCTGGCTATCAGAAGACGGGGCTCTTGCCGTGGGACGAATATGATTAACTGATGATGAAATCTGGATGTGGTGACTGTGATAATGTAAAGGATTTGTCGAGGTTCAAATGTGGTCATAGGTTGCGAAGCGGAAACGCCATCACGGGTTTTGATCAGATATCCTTACATCTGATGCTATGAGGCTAGCATCATACTAACATTCCAAAGGTCACAGGGTAATCAGAGACAGCGATATAAAAGAGAGGAAGAGGGTCAAACATAATACATGTTGCAAAATAATAAAGATGAGGGCAGGTTCCCAGACCATCCACTCCTCAGCCACGTCGCAAGAAGAACGCACGTAGCCTGCCCATCCAGGAGTAACCGAAAAACGCCTCATAAATCATCACACCGTCTCAAATCTGGTTCTGTTCTTCCTCCTTGGCGACATCCGCTTGCCTCGAGTCCATGACCCCGCTAAGGTGCGTATAGGCTATTACAACGTTACCAATCTGCGGCATATGCTTGATGCTCAAAAAGGCCTGGCCGTGATCCATGCCGGCCAGGTACATGAGCTCCAGCTCTCCTTTCCCGCTCCATCTCTGAGGCGTCGTCGCCCACTCGGGCTTGTCGTGCCGCGTGTAGTTGAGATCGCCAAAGTAGACGTAGCTCGCCACGGCATCTGGGTCGGTGACGCAGTCCTCGCCGCCGAGGACGACGGTGGTGCGCTTTCCCTGTAGCTGGGGCGTCCATAGGATAAAGTCTTGCCAACGGAAACGGCGGGCAAGGGTGTGTGCAACCATAGGATCTGTGGCGACGAACCAGATTTCCCATTCGTTGCCCCATTTCGGTGTGCGCCGCGTGAAGTTGTAGGCTACGGCGGGGAGGTGGAGGAGCAGTGACACGGGGTCGATGAGAACGATGGAGTTGATCTTTGTCGCGATGTCGGGTCTTTGTAGCAGCGGAGAAACGAAGAGCGTGCCAAAGGAGTTTCCAACAAAGACAAAGTCATTATAGTTTTGCTGTTTGATGATGGCGTCTATGCCGTCGACGAGCTCCTTGGTCGTCTGCAGAGGGGGGCAAATACGCGAGGAGACAGGGAGAATCTCGATGCAGAGCACGCCGACGTCCTTGGGAATGCTCCAGAGCCATAGTAGATACGGGAGCATGCCGACGCCGACGCCGTGCATGAAGAGGATGGGACGCTTGGTCTCCGACGTGTGCGGGCGGCAGAAGTAGCTTAGCTTCGGGTCGGCAGACTCGTTGGGTGAGAAGAGGGTCATGGGCCGCCATGGGAAGACGGAGAAGAAGGTGTTGCGTGGTTGACGGTAGAATTTGAAGCCTCTGATAAAGAGGACAAGGGTTGCGAAGAAGTCGAGGGTGCCAGTAGTCTTTTGAATGCGTTAGTCTCCAACTCCGGCTAAGCTGAGGATAATGTTGACTACAGAGACACTTACAAGGTAATACATCAGGCTCCGGTGGGTGATTGTGATGGAATCAAAACTGAGTCGCATCGGTGTTGCGTCTCCAAAGCCTCTCTTGATATTGACTCCAGCCCGCTCTTCGGTTTCCGCAATGTACTCCTCGAGTTCTTCGTCATGCTCTTGCGGGTTGCCTTGCTTGTCGAACAATGCCCACATCAGCCAGTCTTTGACATTCTCCCTGCGAATATCGCCGAGCTGGGCGTTACAGTGCCATTTTCGGATATACTGCTCGATATCTGGTGCGTGATCCAGTCCCTGGTAGAAGAACCGCCGGCGTTCTTCCTGGTTCAGAGGCTCTGGTTGTAGGCCGGGTTTCTGTAGACGACGGCGATACGGTACGAACCAGGCAAAATAAAAGACGATTTCGACGATGCCAATGACTTCGATGAGGATGGATATGGGATGAGCGATGCCGGGTACACCAGCGAGGGCGAATATGAACCAAAAGTAGAGGAAGCAGAGAAACCCGAGGTACTGAAAGTATATGACCATAGACCTCACGAGGATGAGTTCCGGAACCGACCTTCCCACGAGCATTTTTGGATTAGAGAATGCTGGACGGCGCGAGTGCCTAGTTGTGTAGTAGAGAGGCTCTCTTCGATCTGTCCGAGTCCCTTGGCGTTGACGACGTCTGTCAAGGCTACGACGAGATGACTGTGCAGCGGCATGCCGCGATCTTAATACGACGGAGAGTTCTCATCGACAAGCTTGGGACCCGCGTCAGAGATCTACGAAACGGCATGGGCCTGGCCTGCAACATGGGTTTATCTGGCCGAGGGTGGTTCCCTTTTGCTTTGTCTACGCTTGTGATTCGAACGGCACAACGGCCACTAGTAAGGGCCACAAACATGCTCAATCCGAAAAGAACTTTCCAGGTGCGTTCCTTGTTGTCCGGGCACTGCCTTGAAGCCTTGGACTGTGGAAAGGCAGAGTGCGAATGAAAGTTGGGTGATGGAATCGGACGAAACTCAAACGGAAGCGACATGGTGCCATCTCTCAACTGGGGGATTAGTCGTGCGGGCTCTTCTGCGGGCTGAGTGCCCTCTCTTTGGTTGTAGTCAAGTGTTCGGCGCTCCCACCAATGCCACGCCGAAACGTCACAGTCTGTGCTGTTGAGTTGGGTTGGGGAAGTGAGCAGCGAGATGCTGCAGGGACTTGCTTGTCTCGATGGTGGGTAGCAAAGTCGTTATAGATCAGGGAGTGATCGGTGAGCTCGAAGCCAATTGCCCGATTCAGTTCTGTACGATCCATTCGCGTGAGGGAGGCGACGGGGTCTGCTGGCTGAGTGTAAGTCGGGGACAGTAGTGGGACGTGGCAAGTCGGGTCGACATGTGCCATCTCGAGTCGCATAGGTGGTGTTGCATTGCAAAGACGAGCAGAACTTCATGATGCGTCAAATGTGCACGGATTCGAGAATACACTCTGGTGATGGAAGTCAGAGTTGGTCAAGTATGGTCAGTCACTGAGGAAGACGACAGGGTGAATAGACGTAGGTTCGGATACGATGGTCTGTGTTGGTGAACTATGGCCACTCTTCGAAAAGTGTGTTGGCCGCAGCAAACAGGGAAAGCTTCATCTTGGGAGGCGCAGGGTTTCGGTGATGGAGACTGAGAGGGTGGAAGATGTCAGTTGAAGATGTCAGTTGAAGATGTCAGTTGAAGATGTCAGTTGAAGAGCATTGGATGTTGATGATGGACCTCTCACCAGCCGGATTTGGAATGCGAGTCGACCCGCTGCCTCCCAACCAGGCGGCCCTGCCAGTCCGTGACCTAACTGGACTAAGACTAGCGTCAAGCCACATGGGTCGGATCCCGTGCAAAGACCCACATCCAAGATCCACTTCAAGGCCCGCAAACTCCGATAAGCAAAATGTGGCTTGACCCACTATGTCTATCAGAGCATTCTGACTGGACGCCCCCAGTTTGAGCGGAGGAACCTTCCAACCGTAGGTATTCCAGCCCCATAGCCGTGTGGCCTCTTTGGGTAGCATTCTCTCACCCCAAAACAAGCATTGTGACGGCTGGGCTTGATTCCTTCAACGCTGTCGCCTACCAACATGTAAGCCATACATGCACCACACACGGTGATTCGGCCTAACTATGCGCTCTCACGGCCCCATGTGGCTTACGGACTTTGCATCGCAATCGTGTCCTTCGAGGCCCCCAAGCGGTATTCACGCGGACTTCTGGTAGGATAAAAGGCGATGGAGTTCTCGCTTCCCAAGTTCAATATGAAGACTTGGTCATCATTCTATATCACTACTCTCATCTCTCACCAAATCAGTCTCACCTTCTAGGACACAAAGAATCTTCTTTTCATCTCTTCTCGATCTCAAACACCTCAGTGGAACCGATCTACCAACAAGCCCCCGGCCCCGATCCGCCATCCCGCACTCGGTCTCACCTCTCGCATCCGTACTCGGTTCCGTCCCGAAACCCCATCACCTAGGCGCTTACACGGCACGTCACGGATCACTCGACGATCATGTCTTCCGCAAAGACCATTCTCTTCCTTGGAGCCACTGGCGGCTGCGGACTCTCAGCTCTGCGCCGCTCCCTCGACGCCGGCTTCACGTGCATCGCCCTGTGCCGCACCCCGTCCAAGCTGACCTCCGTCCTCCCGTCCGAAAAGTACCCCAACCTCCGCATCGAACAAGGCAACGCCCACGACGCTGACGTGATTGCCCGATGCGTCGTCTCGCCCCTTGACGCAACCCGCTTCGTCGACGCTGTCGTATCCTCCATCGGCGCCTGGTTCGAGCTGCGCAAGATGAACCTCGAGGACGTCAACGTCTGCGAAAAGGGCATGACCGTCTTGCTCGACGCTATCAAGAAGCTGCGCACCGAAAAGGGCGTCTCTGGACGGCCGCGCGTCATTGGGCTCAGCAGCACTGGCATTTCCAAGTTTGGCAGAGACACGCCTCTTGTCATTCAGCCTCTCTACAAGGGCCTCTTGCACACCCCGCACATGGACAAGAAAGCCATGGAGGAACTCCTCTTCGCGAGTGGTGAAGCCTGGACGGTGGTGCGTGCCAGCTTCCTGACCAACGGAAAGGAGCAGCCCGCGGGCACAGTCCGGGTGGGCGTCGAGGACCCCGTCAAGGGTGTTGAGGAACTGGCCATTGGGTACAGCATTGCCCGTGAAGACGTTGGCAAGTGGATGTTTGACAACATCTTGCAAAAGAATGGAGACGACAAATATGTTGCCAAAGTTGCAACGGTCACCTACTAATCACCACTACCTTAGGCTGTTGTTTTGCTTTCACTTCTCACCATGTTTCTGCTTGGCTTCACACAGACATCTCCTTTCAATACCCTTGTTCCGTACGTTCTGCTCGTTTTGCTACAAGTTGTCGATTACGAATTACCTATAATATAACATTTGATACGCTTCCTGCTCCAAACTGTGCACTGATTCCGGGTTATAAAGGCCTGGAGCATGTCGCTGTTCGCTGGTTTCCAAACCAAGACTTTTCTACTCTCCGTCCCTCTACAACATCATCTCCCTTGACCAGCCCACCCTTCATCTTGAGTCATCTTCCAGGAGGCCCATATTGCGATGAATAAAGTAGACCAGCTGATCTATGTTATCAGGCTCGGTGATCCAGTGGCCGCCATATTCGTATTCGTGCCATTGAACTTCTTTCAAGCCAATGTTGTGTAGGGCCTTGCATAGGGCTCTTCCGTTCTTCACCGGAACCGTTGGGTCGTCGCGAGCGTGGGAAAGGAAAATTGGCGTGCGTGCCATCTGGTAGTTCACATCACCACACTTTATCTTCCACTTGCCATCATCACTGGCGAAAGGACCGGTTGTGACTTGGTATGGTGAAAGGCCTGGGTAGGCCCAGCTAGCGTAGCCAATAAGGCCGCCCAAGGCTTTACAACCTGTCAAGTAGGCCGCAACAGCTGTCGCAAATCCCTGGCTGATGCCGCCGAGGAAGATTTTGTCAGGTGACACCGCGTGGGATTCCCGGTCGATGAGGCGGTTGATGAAGTCGATGCTTTCAGACAGGCTCGGTTCTTGCAATTCTTCTTGCTCGTTTGGGTTCTCTGTAGACCACATATCAAACCATTGGGTCATGTCTGTTTTGAAACGTTTAGATGGGATCGACGGTGCGCTGGGGAAGACCCATTTGAAGGTTGGGTACAGGGCTTGGAGGGTTCGAGGGGGTGGTGGCGCTGGTGTGTCGTCCAGGGGGTTGTTGGGCTGTTCAGGGCCATCGTCCAGGATTCGTGCCAGGTGTTCCGAGACTTCGCATTCAAAGAACTCATCTGCAAATTCTTTGCCGTCACTGCCTCTGCCATGGAGGAGGATGACGGTGTGCGTGTGCTCGTGGCCCGGGGCAGGTTCAAGGTGGAAAACGTCCGTGAGAAATGTCATTGTACGGGTAGATACGTTGGCAATAATACCGTTCAAATTGATGTTGACCAAGAGTTGGGTCTTCCGTATTGCAAACGAATGGTGTTGGGTGTGGTGAATTTGCAGATACGTTGGCTGGTGGTTGGCGGACTGGCGGAAGGTCGTCCCCTAGGTACCTTAGTAGTTAATTGCCTGCCACTCCGTGCCTTCCTCCGCTAAAAATGCACCTGCCCCGCTGTGCCTCCCTGGCGCTTCTTGCCGACCACAACCTCCAGGTACCTTACTTATGCTGCGTACCTGCCGCAGAGACTCCCGTCATCAGACTGAAGGTACCTTGCGATGTATCTTCGACATGGAGAGTCACCGAAAAAGGGGTTGTAAACACATCAACCGAGTATTCCAGGAGCAGACATTTTAACAGATACTGGGAAAGTGATATCCTGAATTGGCTTTCTTTTTTTAGAAGTGATTGTCGAAAAGCAATCTCCCAGTCGCCTTTTGAGTTTACACAATAAAACCCACATACACGACCTCACCTTACGTAACTTGGACATGTGGTGTACTTTGCAAGCCATGTCATCCAGACGCGACAATCCTCCTCCCTCAACATCATCTGCGAATAACTCCAATAACTTCCTTCATTTTACGACTGAAAACAGTTCGGACGTCTTTTCATTTACGAAAGCGAACTCATAAGCACGTGAAACTGGCCAGTATGGTGTTGCTCGCGCCAGAGTTGTTGCGTATCATCGGACAATACCTTGCAAGTCAACATTTCGAACCTAAACATGGAGAACCTCTTTCGGATGTGGTCTAACTACCAGTACCCTTTAATAACAATAGGCGACCAACAAAAAGACACTGAGGGCTTTGTGTCGCGTCAACAAGGCATTCCGAGATGCTTTCAGTGAGTTCCTGTACGCCGAGGTCTATCTGGGCTACAATCACTTTGTCAAGGACGACCCTCCACAGAAATGGCTTGTCAAGGAATCCCCAGAAACCCGCCACATGAAAGTCATCCACTTCCGACCCAAGGGCTTCGAATGGAACAGCCATGAGATGGAACTTGACGATCATATTCGAAATTGCAACTCCCAGCTCAGACGACTGTTGGCAAACACCCCAAATGTCAAGAGATTTGTGTTCGTCACACCTTTAGCACTCAAGGCAGTACCCTCAAACCTGTAGAATTACACGCTAACGGCCGTTTTAAGCTTGGAAGACGGAGAATTCTTCCTCTCCTCCGCAACCTTGAAGGCGCTAAAGCACTGCTGCCCCAACTTGGAAGACATCTCCTTCGATTTGGAAGCCCACCCACATGAGCCCGGCGCTGGCAGGTACTGTCGCGACGATGACTCTTGGCGAGACCCGCAGCCCATCATGCCTGTTCCCGATGACTTGAAGTACAGCATCGCCGACTTCAACGTCTTTTCCGGCCTGACCGGACTTCACCTAACTGGGCTGCAGGGGCCTATCCCAAAGTGGATAGAAACCATAGCCTGTATCCTGGGTTCCTCCCCGAAGCTCACTGATTTGAGCCTGTCTCTTTCTCGACCAACGGCGGATAGCTTTGCTAATGTAGACGATCGTGATGAGCTTTACGACTTTCTCATGAATTTGGGAAATCGCTATGGAGATCTTGGTCACCCTCCCCTCCGCCTCAAATCTCTCAAATCATACTATCCCGTCCTTCTTTGCGAAGACGAGGATGGCGGGTTTGATTATCTCGACAAACTAACCGACTTAAACCATTTGCAAGAATTGCGACTCTTCAACCAGAGTGCCGTCATGCGAGGGAATAGCCCACCGGATGCCCCGGAGCTCGCATTCTACGCCATTGACCCGAGCACATTGCCGAATCTCCGCCAACTCACCATCGGGGCATGGGAAGCAGGCATAGAGAATTGCTTTGAAGAGCTCGACGAAGAATACGCAAGCCAACTCAGTCTCCGCGTGGACCCTCAAACATTCATCTTCGACCCAAACTACGAGAAAGGCATCTCCAGCATGCTCGACAATGAGATGATCCTGAGAGTTAAAGAGCTCATCATACCACAGACCTGGATTGGAAACGGAAAGGATGCACCTGACAACTGGGACATGTTCAAAGTCCTAGAGTCCTGCCACTGGATCACCTCCATCGGCTTCACTATCGACACCACGGTGGCACCTTACGGCCTGATTGACATCCTTGCGAACATGGAGGGCTTAAAAAAGCTTTCCATAGAGTACCCCAAGTTCAAAACCAACAGAGGGCACGGGGGAGACCCCCTTCAAAGATTTAAGAAAGTGGAATACCTCAAGCCAGAGATCGTCGCCGCAAAGTGCAAGCACTTGACCTACATGAGACTGCACGGCCATGGCATCAAGATATGGCGGCCGTCAGCGGGCACGGCAGAGTTCGAATATCTCGAAGATGCAGAGGACGCTGTCGTTGGAGCATTCTTCCGCAAAGAGACTCGGGAAGATAACCATTGGATCGCTGAAGCAATGGACAGCGACTACTTCGAGCCGCCGCGACCGCTGTAGCGGGTCGAGCAGATTGTAGATCAACTTGCTTGGGAGGAGAACGACTACAAGTGATAAAATCAACGTTAGTATGCCGATCTTTGGCTGGCGTACTGATTCTCATGTCAAAACATTCCTAGAGTTCTCTAGAAAGAAGTCTTGCTTATATAATATGATTTTCAGACCCTGAGTCTCTGTTACCAGCCAACTTGTCCGGCTACCAAGGTTGGATACCGTCCTTGTTCACAACCTTGCCAACGTCAGCGTCCCGTTCACCCTCAACAACCTGTTGAATCAGCCTGGCTCCCTGACTCGGCGCACCCGCGCCCATCTTCTTCAGCGCATCGGGATTTCCTCCCAACCCCGTAGCCAGGAAACCTGGGGAGATGCACCACACCTTGACCCCGTCTGCCTTGAGAAGCCAGTGCCAGTTCTGCATGACCATGTTCAGCGCGGTCTTACTAGACCGGTACCCGGCTTGAGGGGTATAAGGCTTGGGCCAGCCGGCAGCCGTTACGGTCCCTGGCTGGAATGGGAGCAGGCCGGCGCTTTCAATGCCATTGAGAGTGGACAGTCCGCTGGTAATGAAGAGAAGACGAGGGTCGGAGGATTTGATAAGAAGAGGGGCAAAGGCGTGGGTCATGACGTGTGTTCCGGATGTGTTGACGTCGTATGACTTGTTCATATTCTGGCGAATAGCTTTGATGTCCTCGGGGTTGTAATTGTGAGGCCCGAAATCATGAGAGGCGCCTACAAGTTATCTGTCAGACTTATTCTAGGTTCGTGATTCTCCTGGGATGTAGACGTACCAGCGTTGTTAATCAGGACATCGAGCAGCCCATGCTTTTCTTTGATACTCTTGAAAGCGCCAATGATTGAATCATCATCGGCTACATCCACTTGGATGACCTCCAACGAGCTTGCAGTGGATGGGAACTCCTTTGTGAGTTCAGCAAGGGCAGAATCGCCCTTTTCGAGTGACCTTGATCCAACAATGATGTGGTATGCCCTGTCGGATTGCAGCAGGATCTTGACTGTTTCATAGCCAATACCGGTGTTGGCTCCGGTGATAAGGACGATACGCTTGGAAGACATGGCTGATGATGTACTTCAGACGACTTGGATTATTGGTATAAGGGGACTGTATGTAGAACAATAAGAAGGTGTCCAGAAAACAAGTAGACTTCAAGCCCTTTTATTGCCTCCGCATAGCAGCATGTTTCTGGCCTGAGACAACTTCAGCCCTAGCCAACGCGCCCGGAGTTAGGCTTGACGGAGAGTTTTATACGACAGATGGTTAGATTGCGGGGCAACCATGTGGAAAATGGCGCCAAAAACCCCTGGGCATCTTTCAAAGCAGAGTATATAAACGCGAAGTCGCGACGACTTAGATCTCAACGTCAATGATCTTTAACTGCGTCCTCCGGCCCGGCGTGAGTGGATCTTACGTTGCCCGGAGCCGGGAGGGTCCCGATTTGGACATCTTTAACCCCGTTGGGGTCGTCAATGAGGGGTCTTGCGTGAGATGAGGTTGAGTACACCGAGCACTAACAGAACTTGGCTGCGAACGCTAAGAACCGCGATAACCTTCTCTGTTAGGAAGACACCAGCGGATGTTCTGCTCAATGTCCCGCCTAGACCGGCCCCCTACGGACCCCACCCCGACGGCAGACTGAAGGAACTCGGTAAGCTATCCCGAAAGCTGCTGAATGACGTGAGTCAGTGCTGAAGTCGCCTAATGTCCCCCCAAGCTGTCCATCTTGAGTTCGAGTACGGCGTACCTGATCTGATATCGGAAGTATCATTAACGAAACAAACAAAGAAGCGGCCATTCTTCTCTCAAGTTCAACTACGGAAATAACGTACACAACATACCTTTGAACATGGCACCGAAACCCGTTCTCCTCGTCGGCGCCAATGGCACGCTAGGCGCCAAAATCCTAGACTCCCTTGTGGCCGCCAAATCCTTCAAGCTCAGCGCCTTGAAGCGCGCTGGCTCCAAGAGCACCATCGCGTACCCCGCAGACCAAGTGCAAGTCATTGAAATCGACAACGACCTCTCCTACGAGGGTCTCAAAAAGGCATTTACCGGCCAAGAAGTCGTCATCGTCAGCTTCCGCCTGCGGGATCTCGACCAGCACCTGCGCATCGCCGAGGCGGCGTCCGCGGCGGGCGTGAAGCACTTTATCCCCGCCGACTTCGGCAGCATCGACGCCGATAACCCCCGCGCGAGGGAGCTCATCCCGCTGTACGGCTGGAAGCGCGCCGTGCGTCAAAAGGCGCAGGAACTGGCGGACAAGAACCCGGATTTCGCGTGGACGGGTATTGTCTGCGGGCACTTTTTCGACTGGGGTGTCAAGGAGGGTTTCTTGCACGCATACCTCGACACCAAGAAGATCGACGTCATTGACGGCGGCGATATCAAGGCCTCTGTCGCGACACTGCCGAGGGTCGGGGAGGCTGTCGTGCGTATTCTCAACTTGGGCGTTACCGAGGTGACGAAGAATAAGACGCTTTTCATTCAGAGCTTTTGCATCACGCAGAACGAGCTGCTTCAGAGTTTGGAGAAGGCGACGGGGGCCAAGTGGACTGTCAACAAGGTCGAATCCGAGAGCTTCATCGCGGAACACAAGGTCAAGGCCGATGCGGGTGACGCTGAGGCGATTGAGGACCTTGTCTTCGCTGTCGGGCAATTAGATGCAAACTGGACGAAGCGCGATGACTTTGCCATGAAGACTTTGGGGCTAGAGGATGAGGATTTGGACACTGTCATTGCGGATGTTGTCGCTAATCCAGCAGTTTAAGGGACACCACCTCTATCAGTGAAGGCCGATAGAACTGTCGCAGCTGCACCAAGCAAATTCATATTTTCTCACCTGAACTGAGCATCGTTCTTGCTGAGAAACATAGAGAGAGTTTATTGAATGTTGTTAGAAATAATATAGGCGAAGGTATAAGGGCATATCCGACTCCTGAATCACAAGTTACCGACTGCCTTGGGCAAGTCCGTCATGTCTTCCAGGAATACATCAAACTCGGACCGAACCTTTGCCATATCCTCATCGACATCATCAGTCCATCGATGAACATAGATGGTCCGCAACCCAACCTTCTGCGCCCCTCGCAAATCATATGCGTGCGCTGCAACCAACACCACTTCCTCAGGCTTGAGCTTGACAAGCTGCAATGCCTTTTCATACGCAGTGGGGCTAGGCTTGTAGACACCCAGAAGCTGACTGGAAAAGAGCATGTTGAAGCTCAGCCCTGAAAAACGGACGAGGTCAAGCTGCAAGCGAGTCGTGCCGTTGGCATGCACAAACACTTCAAGGCCGAGGTCGTTCCGCAGGCTCTCGATTGCCTTGGAAACTTCGGGCCAGGCAGGCTGCGAGTGCCATGCTTTTATCAACTCGGTCTTGATCTCGGGGCTGAAGTGGCTGGCGTACACGGGAGACTGGTCCAACAGGTTGTCGAGGACCCGCGCGAACGTAATGTCAATATCCTCAGGCTCAAGACCCTGCGCATGCCGGTTTGCAATCTCGATAAAGTATTGTCTGCGCCATTCGAGCGCGAACTTTGACGCCTCTTCCTTTGGAATGGTGGCGGGTAAGGCTTTGACTACACTGGCATGCCAGTTAAGGCAAGTTCCCATGAAGTCGAAGAAGACTGCCTTGACCTTTGTAGGTTGCTGAGACATGATGGTTGGTAGGAATTGGTTTAGGTACCCTTGGGGGTAGTGGGAAGCCATGGTCGAAGAAACAAGCTTTGCTTGGCAGGAACCTTGAATTATGAAGTCTTTGAATCCCAGTCGCTTTTAGAACGACAATTTCACTTCATTAAGCTGATATTAGTAATTCGAGGTCATTTTTGGGACTTTGGAAGGGCGCACTTTAGCGCAGCCATCCTTCGACAGGTTGTGCAATGTCAGCATGATCAGGTAAGCCGAGTACAATGGCGTGATTATCTGACCGAAAGTCAAGCGGCCATACGGAAATGCAAAAACTGAGACACAAGAAGCCAGCCAAGTTTCTCAAAGTAAAGAAGAAAATAGTTGAGGAACTTGAGCGTTTACAAAGTTGTCATTAGGTGAAAGTTTTAATACGGCCTCCTGCTTCTTCTCTCTTTACGACAATGCTGCACTGCTTTACGGCCTTTTCAGTTTTGAGAGTGCATCGAAGAATAGGTCGAACAAGGTGAAAAACAATTTATTTCAGGCACAGATTGTGTCAACAATCAAGGCATCAAGGATTCAATATGGCTTTGACCGACATCCCTATGTCGCTATGTCTAGACTGTTAAAAGACGAATACTAGAAGAAAGATTGACCACTCACGCAACTCGCTTCACAGCTTTCAGTCAGGCTTGTTTTCAAGTTCTGCAGCAACCAATATTGCTTCGTGACAAAAGTGCGTCTTGTGTCAAGTTACCTTCAGAAATCTCAACGTAAGACATTTGGCGTGACGTTTCCTCTCCAGGTCGGCTCCAAAACCTAAGACTGGTTTATGCCCAAACAAACTCATCTGAGAGGTTTTGGGAGTTCCATGAAACTTTTGTTTCTAAGTTGAACAAGTTTTTCTACCTATTTTAACGCCCACTAACCTACGGAGCCGACAATTTGTTGCCCATTTCTGTACTCTTGGGAGGAGCGGAAGGCCTTGTTGCGCGAGTGGCGTGAGTGACGGCCTTGGCTTGCAGTTAGCACAACTTCTATTCATGAATTTAGGGCGGAAAGCCAGTCTGCGTGCGACTGCGCCAATTCTCCAATTCTACAGGCCCGCTGTCGGTGCAACCAATATCTGCCGGCACTTATCAACCCCGAGCGGAGTGCATGAAACAAGCGCCACAGTTGGGACCATTGGGTTGATGGCTTCTTCACGTCTGAGAACTCCCAATAATGGATGATAAAGAAGAAACTTGCGCCTCGCAGTTAACCTATTTCTCATGACTGGGCACACTATGCAAGTGTTCGGGCGCCACACTACAATATGGGCAGTTTAGGCGAACAAGCCCCTGCTTGAGAGCGATGGTCCAGTCACCAAAGGCTGCTCAATGGCGGGGTTCCTGGGTGCCCCGATGGGTTGCGGTGACATGCCCGCGATACGGCCCCAGTAAAGGGCTCCGGACGGAACAGTTTTTGAGGAGCTCTGACTGGGGGAAATCTGCAGGACCGGGGACCCGGACCGGGGCGCACGGTAGTAGGCAATTTCTCCGTCCACATGGCTGTTCTTGGCACTATCAAGCAGATAATGTGACCTTTGACAAAATGCCATGGCAGGATCCTGATTAGATCTTGGCAACGCAAGTTGAATGCTCTATAATACCACACGAAACAAGGGCCAGCAGCTACAAACTACCATTGAAGGGGAAATAGCTCCAGAGTCCTTCCTATTTCGCGTGCGCCCCTTTGGCTTACCCCCTCAGCCATATCTCTGAGCCTTGAAATCGCAACGGTTTCTCATCGACTTTTGAACATGATTGGATCGCCTATGGAATCTCCTGTTTTTGTTGATCGTGTGTTCTTCTCAGCGTAGGATTCGGACAGTATCTTGGATCCAGTTCATGAGGCGTCAAGGAGTCAGGATCCTCCACCATAAGTCCACCAATCGATTATGCGTGATATCTTAAGCTTGTGTTTTGTCTTGACTCGGAATCTGCGAGAGTGGACAAAAAAGAATTGTCTTGAGTCTTCTATATAACGCGAGCTCATCGTCCGATGTTGTCATTTTGGGTAGAGTCTTAGAAGCTTCACTGAGCAAGAACATTACATTCTCATCACGATTGGCTACAACTCCGCCTTCCAGCATTGTGATCAATCAGGTTTTAGCCATCATGTACTTCTCCAAGGCTAGCATCGTGGCTTTGCTGGCGGCTGTACCCAGCACACTTGCCTGTCTCGGATACGAGGGCGGTGTTCCCACTGCGACTTCCACAAAGACCAACAGCAAGTACATTGAGGTTCCCGCTGGCACTGTCTATGACGGTGGTTGGGCTAGGTTCGACCGTGGTTCTGGTGCTTGCACCAGTGGTGAAGGAGGTATGCTATCTGTCTGACACCGTGATAAGCCTTAGTTGGGAACTGACAAAGCCACCCAGGCGATGCTGATGCCGTCTTCATTCTCCGCAAGGGCGCAACTCTGAAGAATGCCATTATTGGCAAGAACCAGAAGGAGGGCGTTCACTGCGACGGTCCTTGCACTCTCGAGTTTGTATGGTTTGAGGATGTTTGTGAGGATGCCATCACTGTTGTAAGTAATGAGTTGAGCAGTGAAAAAATCTCTTTGAATAGCATAGTTGACACCCGATGCAGAAGAACGATAAGGCTGGCGACCACACCTGGATCATTGGTGGTGGTGCCTACAAGGCCAGCGATAAGATTGTTCAACACAACGGTTGCGGCACCGTGAACATTATCAACTTCTGTGAGTTATTCTGAAGCAGTGCCCTATTGAGTTCCTTGAGTCAAATAGCTAACCACAATCGTGTAACACAGACGCGAATGAGTGAGTGATCTTCGTGTACTATCTAGGTGAAACCAAACTAACACTGAAGTAGCTACGGCAAGGTCTATCGCTCTTGCGGCAACGTAGGTTTTTTGCTGTCTAGTCTCATTATCTATGGAATGAATCATACTGACCTGAGTCTCTCCAAATCAGTGCAGCAGTCAGTGCAAGCGCAACGTCTACGTCGAGGGCACTACCGCCCGCAACGGAGGCGAAGTTGTTGGCATCAACTCCAACTACGGCGACACCGCCACCCTCAAGAACGTCTGCACCGACGCCAAGACCCCGTGCCAGATGTACACCGGATGTGCCGGTGGCTGCGAGCCCGTCAAGGCAGGTGCCTGCTCCGGATAAGATACCTCTACGATTCATCGCAAGCCGCACGGCATCGCCGAGCAACCACACGGGTCCCTCGGGGCCCAAAATCAATCCTGGACCGTATCTTATTCTCAAGTCGGAACCTTTGGCCAGATACTCTTGTACATATCATCTCATATTGCGGCCTGTGGTCGCTGCGCACATATTTAGCTTGACGTTGAATGAGGAATGATCATGTTCGCCGACCTTGGGTACATCGCGCAACGTAGCTGGTCCAATGAATGAAGTAAGAACCTTGAAGATTGAAAATCTGTGCACGTAGTTTCGCGCGGTATTTGAGGAGCACTTAGAATGGTATTTGGTCATATGACCTACATGAACGCGGGCAGATTCTCGCCACATGATGCGTGTTGAATCGAGACGGCCTACGTCACTCACAAAAGTAAGTAAACAAACACCCATATCTCGTCTACCTGATCTTCTCTCAAGACTCCCATTATGTCTACTCCTACAGACAAACTTTTGATGCGATTTGAAACTCTTAGCTACTTGTTACTTGTGTAGAAACAATGCCTTCAATCAGAGCTCAGCGTAATAATACCAGTCTGATCGCCACCGACCTTAAGACCAATGAATTCGGTAGAAAGCGTCGTGGATGTTTCTACATCGTTTATCTCTTGAGAATAGTCATGAAAATCGTGGTGATAATTTGAATTCCGCTCTCTGACCTCGAGCTAACATGATGTGATAGTTGATTAATTTCACTGCACCACCACATCCTCGACTTTCCCCAATGAGCATGATGATCACTTGGGTAGTTCAGCATGAAATATACGATCTTCTGGCTTCGGAACATGCGTTGAATAATGCATAGGTCCAGTGGCCGAAAGCACCTGTTCTTTTTACGGAAACATATCTAATACCAGGATTTCAAAATGTCCGTGACGCTGGGGTTGATCTGAACCTATCGGCTATTGCCAAACAACATCACTACGCTACCTCTATGTCTAGAAACTCACTGATCACATCACCATCAGGTGATGAAATGTCAAGCACCTTTTGGACATCATCAAGCGGACGTGCCGAAGTGATGACATGGTCGATGGATCACTCAACGATGGCCAACCTTTCTTATAAACAAAATGACATAGAGGGCGAGCAACTGAACATGAACTCGTCAACCTCATCACCAATCTCACCATCATCATAAACGTCATCAAATCTCGTCTACCTCATCGTAGACCGAACTCTAGAGCCATATCAAACAGATCTATCCGAAACTTCTATTCCAAGACCCACTCATTTCAAGCTCTCAATAACCCCTTCGATTTTCATCATGGCGCCTGAAGCAACCATCACCCAAGAGCCTCGAGGCTTTCTCAGGCTAAAAGCTCTGATTAAAAGCCTCAGGACTTTGATCCATCCAAAGAAACGCCTTCCGATCGAGAATCGAGAGCAACGCCAAGAAGCCACCATCAATAAAGAAGCAAAGGCGCTGAAGAAGGCCAAAGCAAAGAAAGCTAAGGTGGAAGCTCACCATGCTAGACGGGGAGAACGAAGTGTTGCTTATAGACCATCGAACTCGACATACAAATACGATTCAACACCGTGGTTGATGATGACTACGTTCGACACTTGTGGAGGGGGATGTTATGACAGTGGATGTTGTGACAGTGGAAGTTACTGTGATTAGTTGATGTCTCATGGGATTTGGTTGGCCCTTTCCCTTGATAAATATGGAAACGATGGCGAAGATGTTTGTGTGGCTGTGGTGTCATCACCTCACCAGAAGTCATTCCAATGTCACTTTTTAACTACTTCCTCTCAGAAAATGCGAACAAGGCTTCCTTCTTCATTGTGTCCTCCTTCGGCTCTTATAGCTTTCCGTCGAAAGCTTCCTAGTCAGGCAAGTGACTTCGACAAAAAAAATCACCATCTTGTCTGCTACTGGTCACCTCTAACGCTCTGTCAATTCCACGACACTCTCGATCATTTTAAGTGAGTAAGAACGGGAACGCCCGTTGCTTTTGACTTATCATTAGCTATATGCCACTGTTTCGTTATCGATCTGACCTCACACTTGGACTCTTTACAAGTGGTTGCACTGCGTGATAGTGAAAATTAATACTCGAGACACTCTTCAGAGGCAGGATCCTGTTCAAGTATGGACGTGAAGTGCTTGATCACTGGATATGAGAAGACCCATTTGGTCTGCCTGGCTTGTCCATCTTTCGCGTGTCTTTGCTACGATCAAGGGTATACCTGGCAGGGGAAAGCTTTCAGGCAAGGCTCCAAGGCTTTCTTGGTTGTGAGAAAATAACTCAGACTTCATTTGGTCTGATGATAGCATCGCGCAGCTTCGGCCCGAGCGCTGCCTGGTGACAGGAACTCTAAGTAAAGGTTTGGACGCGTTGCGGGGCGGCGACTTGCCTAAATCGTAACGTCGGGAGCAATTTGATTCGAGCGCGTGGTAACTTTGCCTCGGTACATCATTTCTGCGATGTCACGAACAGCTTTCCCCTGCTCAAATCACCCAGCCATCGTCCGTTTCCAACTTTCTTCCCCCTACCCAGCAGACCATGCCACTATTGCCGGTAAAATACGAGTTGTTATTGCACCATCCCTGGAGGCACGTGAAAGAATCTGACCGCATCTGGAAGATTCTCCATGACAAGTACCACCGCGATCAAGGGCACCATGCTTGTGCCAACTACGCCCGATTTGGAGACAAGAACAGGCACATCTCAGCCCGACGTCATGCTTGCCGCGACGGCTTTCAGTCGGATCAATTCTCTCGAAAGATCTTGTCAACCTCAAAGTCAAGAAGTCTGTCGTCGAAGAGTTTGACTTGATGTGTTCTATCTTCACTCAGTCACCTGAGCACCGCCGGGCTGCCTGACTCGAGCGCATCGTGTCCTAGTCTCCTCACCGGCTGCGACTTCCCCGCAAACCAGCCATCAACAGCCGGGATGCGCATCATCGCCGGTTGTCTTTGGAGATTGTGGGGTATTCAAAGTGCGGAGAGACAAGGGTATTCGGGGTAGCTAATGTGACTACCGCAAGTTCCCGTTGGGCTTTCGGTGTAACCGTTCCACGACGCTTTGCCTTTACTGCTGCGCTTGCTCCTCACAAGTGAACTTGCAAATCTTCCATTGCTAGCATGAGGCTTGCGTAGTAGCAAGAGGCAATGATCGGCCATTGGGCTGTTTATGGGCGCAATATCCATCGCAGTGCTACCCAAGCCGGCCAGCCAAAGTCTCGGACGGTTTGTCTTGTCCTGACCCAGCGATGTGGGAGATCATCCCGCTCCTGCGTATGTCGGGGCCGGACTACAGGAATGCTACATATATAAAGTGAGAAGCAGATCCTATGATACATGTTCTGGCTTGATGTTCAAGGTGACGATTTGTGGCTCTCTGAGCAATCCCAGTCATGCGGTCGCTTCACTTCTGGCTCTCCTCCGCACTCGCCCTCGCGGCGACTGTGAGAGGCCAAGACGACAACACCGCAAAGGTTGAGGCAGCTCTTGCCGCTATCACCGTTACCAACCTTGACGATGTCCGTGGCAACCTGTACCTACCCTCCACCATTGACGGCCTCAATGTCA